TCTGCCCGAGTCCCAAATTTTTGTGTGCTATAGCCCACGCCTTCCGCCGTGGGCCCGGGACACCGGACCCGAATCGAAATTTTTTCCGGGACATCGAATACGGTCTAAGGAATCATATTCACCGCCCCTCCTTGATCAAATTATGTTTTTTGGCATTTTACGGCCATAAAATTGGAATTCCGCGCGAGTCCCAAATTTTCGTGTGCTATAGCCCACGCCTTCCGCCGTGGGCCCGGGACACCGGACCCGAATCGCCTAAAATTTTTCTAGAACGTCAAATACGGCCTATAGAAATATATTAACCGCCCCACCATGATCAAATTATGTTTTTTGGCATTTTACGGCCATAAAACTAGAAATACGCGCGAGTCTCAAATTTTCGTGTGCTATAGCCCACGCCTTCCGCCGTGGGCCCGGGACCCCGGACCCGAATCGCCTAAAAATTTTCCAGGACGTCGAATACGGCCTATAGAAACATATTAACCGCCCCACCATGATCAAATTATGTTTTTTGGCATTTTACGGCCATAAAACTGGAAATACGCGCGAGTCCCAAATTTCCGTGTGCTATAGCCCACGCCTTCCGCCGTGGGCCCGGGATCCTGGACCCGAATCGCCTAAAATTTTTCTAGGACGTCGAATATGGCCTATAGAAATGTATTAACCGCCCCGCCATGATCAAATTATGTTTTTTGGCATTTTACGGCTGTAAAACTAGAATTCCGCGCGAGTCCCAAATTTTTGTGTGCTATGGCCCTCGCCTTCCGCTGTGGGCCCGGGACCCCGGACCCGGATCGCCTAAAAATTTTCTAGGACGTCGAATACGGCCTAAGGAACCATAGTCTTGTCTCTCACAATGCCACCACTTCCCTCATACCCTAAAGTCCCTACTACTTCTATTCCATTCATTCCAGTTTTCACTCCACCCCCCTCCTAAGAACTAAGTAGTCTTGTCTACTTATTCTTTTTTGGAAGGTGATTCACACTGTTTTATTTGTACCGTTACTTTTCTTTTTCTTGAATTTTGCATTTGCTTCGAGTCATCAGTAACGAAAAAAACCTTAGAAGAGCAGTGATAAAGTTATTTTCGTGTGACCTATAAGTCATGAGTTCAAACTGTGAAGCAACTACTAATATTTATATTAAAGTAGGCTATCTATATCACACTTCTAGGATGCGGCCCTTTCTCAAATCTTACACAAATGCGAGATACGCGCACCGAATTGCTTTTTTTTTTTTTTTTTTTTTTTTCCTTTG